AGTCACAAGCACTGTTCCTTCTGGAGCTGATGATGCAGCAGTGCAGGACGGACTACGAGCTGGGAAAGCTCCTACAGCTCTTTGCTGCAGCAGAAAATCTTCTCCTGGATGGTAAATACATGTTCCCCTGTGAATCCCGTGCCCTCTGGCAGGGCTGGGCACCGAGGGAAGCAGCAGAGTTCCCTCAGATCTGAAACCAGCTGCCTTTTGTTGTTCATCCTCTCAAACCAGGCCCTTACGTGAAGAAACTCTGTGCCCTCAGTGAGAGCCTGAAGGATTCCTCCATACCCATGAACCGCTCCATCCTGAGTAGCTGCAGCCTGGAGACATTCCAGAGGGAGTGCAGGTCCATCCTGGAGCAGCTGCAGGAGAAGGGGATGTTCTGCCTGGCCCGGGAGGTCGCAGCACTGGCCGAGCTGCCGGTGGACAGCGTGGTCACACGGGAGGTACAGTGCAGTCCAGGGGTGATGGGCACCTTCATCCTCCTGGGGCTGCCAGAGGCCAGGATGCAACCTCTCATCCCTCCTGAAACACAGACATCCCTTTAAATCACTTTTTGTTCTAAATGCAAGAGCACAAAACTTGTTGGCTGTAAGTGCTGAGCTGCAAAGGACAGTACAACTGTCCTTCCTTTTTACCATTGTTTACTTGCTATGCAATCAGTGTTATTTTTGGGAGAAAAATACTTGGATTTGCCCATCCCTGCCCACGACAGAGGGTGGAGTGAGATGATATTCCATTCTGGAATTCTGTGACTTGTTGCATATTGAGACACTTGCCCAAATTCCATGTTTCAATGTGAGTTTTCTTCCTTGGAAACAGGATTATTTAAAACCTTTGTGAATTTTACAGGTTCTGAGAGATCTACATCGTTTAAGAGAGGTTGGACAGTGGCATCAAACCCAGACCAGAGCTGAGTTCTGGAAGAAGTGCAACGACACCTTCCTGAAACATTCCATCTCCAGCCAAGCCGCAGCCAGTTTTTTCCTCGATCAGGCAAACTCAATGTTGGAATCCTCAGGGGAGGAGGGGGTGACCAGCATTATGGAGAGACACCTGCTGCTCACCCTGGCTGGCCACTGGCTGGCCAAGGATGCCTCGGTGTCCCTGCAGCAGCTGGAAGAAGTGGAGAAGCAGATGTGGATCTGTCGGATCGCACAGGAAATGTCCCGGGCGGCCGAGGGCTCGGAGCAGTCCCCGTGTCCCTCCCCTGCCGTGGCCAGCAGGGACCTGTCCTTTGCCAGCCTGGCCAAGGAGTTCTCCTTCTCCAGGCTGCCCGCCCTGAACTCGCCCCAGTCCCTGGAGCTGGGGTTGGTGGCTCTGGAGCCCCGGCAGGCCCCGGCCGGCGCGGAGGAGGCGGCGCTGTGGGGGCTGGTGGGGGCCCTGCTGGACGACGGCAGCGTGCATGAGGCCAGCAGGGTCTGCAGGTACTTCCAGTGCTGCCACAGGGACCTGGCCCTGGTGCTGCACTGCAGGGCCCTGGCCTCGGGGCAGGCTGGGCTGCACGAGCTGCACCCCGACGTTGAGGCTCTGCTGGCGGAGCACAGACACAGCCCCAGCGCGGCCGAGGCACCCCGGGAGGGCAGAGCCCCAGGCTGTGAGTAACCCCTTCCCTCAGCCCTGCACAGCTCATCCCCTGCTGACCTGCCACTGGCTTCTTCCTCCCTCGTTACACTGCTCATTTCCCTCAGATTTCTGCAGGAAATAGGTGTTTGTGGCAGTGGTTTCTCTTCTTGGCTCATAAATCCCCTCGGGGAAGGAATTTGAAGCCTTGCAATGCCCATTGCCTCTGTGTGCTTCAGGCAGGGTGTTTCTGTGTGCAGCTTCCATGGTCCCTGAACCTTTCCTTTCAGTTCCCAGTAATGGTAAAGCAGCACTGAAACTTCATCTCTGTTCCTGCTTTTGGAAAAGGCACACTGGGAAATATTTCTTTTTCTGGAGCTGAAAACAGGGATATCCTTCAAGTAATAGATTTCTCTGACTTCTTTGGGCATTACAAAGGGTTTAGTATTTATTAATAGCAAGGCTAAGGCTGAGAGTGTTTATTTATAAAGTTCTCTGCATATTTATGAAGTCTGAGTGAGAAACTGTCAGCTGGAACTAACACTGACATGTGCAAAGCTGAATAGACAGGGAGTCAGTGAATCCTAACCCATCAGAAAGTCTGCTGAACCCTTATATAATCTTATGTCTAGGAATTTTATATCTGAGATATTAGTGTGGATATATTGGCTTACTTCTCTTCTGTCATATTGTTTGTACCCTAAAACCTTATGGTTCCTTTTTTTTTTGTTTCCAGCCTCCAGCTTAGAAGACTGGACACACCTGGTGGCTGCCTGTCCAGCAGATGAGGTGGTGGCCTGTCTGAAGGCTCTCACAGAGGAGTGTGTGCACGGCAGGAACTACTGCAGGCAGGTCCTATGCCTGTACGAGCTCTCCAAGGTACCACCCTGTGGGCACACAGGCTCAGTGTGTGCCAGCCTGGGCTGCAGCTCTGGCCAGGAGGGATAAGGGGGGTGAAGGAAGCTCAGAACTGCAGAGGGTGAAGTTACTGACCCTTTGTGTGGAAAAAGGCCGGATGCTCCCTGGGCATGAGGGGCTGAAAGGAGCTCTGGTCCCAGCTCCCCAGGCCCTGCCCTGACCCCACTGAGCCACAGTTCAGCCTGGGGCTCTCTGCTGGGCCCTTTTGATGATCTTCCCAGCACGTGCTGCTGACCCAGCACTCTGCCTCAGGCCCTGGCTGAGGGCTGTCCCCCCGAATCCCTCAGACTGGAGCACACAGGGCAGCAGCTCCCTTGGGGTTCAGCACAGAGTGCAGTGCAGGGGCAACCTTTCCCCAGGGCCTGCAGTGGCTCAGCAGTCCCACGTGCTCTGACCAGGCAGGGAAAATATCATCCTTGTCACAGAGGTTCTTAGATTTTCCTACAGAATTTTTCATGCCTTGAATGTTCAGAGTGAGCGCTTTAGGTTTGAGCTGCTGAGAAGAATTAGTCATGTGGCTGCCTTGTTCCCTGTTACCCCATCCATATCCTTCTGGCCTGTACCTGGATGTCCACACTTTTGAATTAAGGGTCAATCAATGTGTTTCTGAGGTACGTTTTTTGATTAATTTGTAATTTGGTGAAGCTATGATGTTACAGCAGAGCCTCACCCACTGCCCTTCCAAATGTGAAATCTAGTTTCTCTCTTTCACTGGGAGTTTGTGGTATGTAGAGGAGAGGAAAAGGAGACTCATAAGTAGAACACAATTCCTTGTTTGGGAGGAAATATTGTTAAGGTGTTAAGGTTTATATTTGGTTCAAGAAATTCCCTCTGTCCCTGGCTTGGGGAGTGCGGAGCTGCAAATCCTGCCTGGAGAAGGTGGTCAGGACCATGTCCTGCAGGTCAGGGCTGTTCTGGGCTGGGGTTTCCTGAGTGCCCGTGTGTTTCCCAGGAACTGAGCTGCTCCTTCAGTGAGATGTCGGCGCAGGACCCTGAGCAGGTGCTTCGGGCCATCCTGGCGGGGCGCGGGCCAGAGCGGGGCCGCAGGGCACAGGCCTTCATCACCTGCCAGGGGCTGCAGCCCGGGGCTGTGGCACAGCTGCTGGCAGAGCAGATCACCCAGGAGCTGCTGGCACCTGCAGAGGGCAAAGGTGGGAACGGCCTCGGCCTCGGATTGTAGTGGGTTTGGTCTCTGAGGGTGGTGTTTGTGTCTGAAAAACAGCCCTTGCTCTCGAGATACTGGGGTGCTAATTACATTCAGTTTGGGCTGAAGGTTTTACACAAATGTTTATTTATTGTTGTTTTGTGTACACTGTGGTGTTGCAGTAGTTAAGGTTTTATTTTTCATGAACATGAATTTAATATTTTTTAAAAAAAGGCCAGAGGGTTTTTTTACCTTTCTTTTCTTTTACTTTGTGAAATGAGAAATACAGCAATATGGTTGTTCAGTAGGATTTCATTCAGTTGAACTGGCAAAGAAATAACGTCAAAAGTGTCTTTAGGATTGTAGTCCCAAGTCCTCAGTCAGTCTGGATGGAGTCAGATTGGTTTGTTTGGGATTTTTTTGTTAATAATAAAAAGTAAGAATTGTTCTCTCCTGAACAGTTAGCAGCAGTGACATGGTTCTCTCTCTGGCCACAGGACAGAAGCAGGTTCTGAACCCTACAGTGGAGAGCCAGGCATTCCTGGAGCTTGCCAAGCTGTGCCAGGATCACACCTTGCTTGGCATGAAGTTACTGGATAAAATTGCCTCTGTCCCACGGGGGGAACTGTCGTGCAGTGAGTAAATGGCAAATCATGCTTGGTGTAACCAGGGTGGCATTGTGTGCTTTAAAATCACAGCACAAGGAGGAGAAGCAATGCTGAGGGAGATCTTCATTACTCATCTCAAATCTGATATTAAATTTAATTTGATATTAAAGTAATCGAGATGAGTATGTGCACAGTAGATCAGTGTGTCATTTAAGTGTCATATCACATTAAGTGACCTGAAATTTTGAAGGAGGATGTTGTGACTTTCTTCATATTAATCAGAGTTAGAAATGGAATGGTTTTTCAAACTCAGATGCAAAACTTGTGGCTTTCCTTTTCCCAGTGCAGAGCTGGCAGGTGGAGGGGTGCTGATATATTTATCTGTTAGTCAGCTTTTGGTGGAGGAGCTTGGAAGTTTTGTGTGTGTGAAATAAAATAATGTTTCAGAAAATGATCCAAAACCCCCAGACTTTCCCCCAGACTGAATGAACACTCTTAGGGAAACTGTTACTCCTTAGGATTGCACAGGAGAACCATCGTAGCTCAACTTTCTCCTGCAGTTCTGCTGTTTGTCCCTGGAGAGGTTGTGCATCCTCTGCAGGGATGGCATCCCTTCTGGAGAGTCACCTGGAGTTCTTTTGTTCTTCAGTTACAGAATTGCTGATCCTGGCCCACAAATGCTTCAGTCTGACTTGTCACATGGAAGGGATCACCCGAGTCCTTCAGGCAGCACGGCTCCTCACCGACCAGCACCTGGCTCCTAAGGAGGAGTATGGACTGGTGGTACGTGTCTGGGGGGCTGGATGTGCCTGCCCAGGGGCTGTGGGAAGGGGTCCCTGTACACTATAGCAGTAGCTTTGCTGTGAGCAGTGTGGGGAGTAGGTGTGTGATGGAATCCCAGAATCCCAGACTGCCTTGGGTTGGAGGGGACCAGTCCCACCCCCTGCCATGGGCATGAACACCTTCCACCAGCCCAGGTTGCTCCAAGCCCTGTCCAACCTGGCCTTGGACACTTCCAGGGATGGAGTTCAGTCATTCACCTCTGAGTGACTGGTCTTGAGTGTTTGGTCTGCTGTGTGCAGGTGATGGTTTTTATGTCGCAGATGCTCTTAAATGACTTCTCTGGAAAAAGAGGTGGAGATAGTGGAATAGTGAGGTGGCAACAGTGTAGTGACTGGAATGGGAATGTCAGAGTAATTCAGTCACTGGTGAAATGTGATGATATGTGTTACTGGGCTGTTGGGCATTTTTCATTCCTGGGTCATGCCCAGTGGGATGGTGTCCATGCTAAAATGTTCCCTGCCTATTTTTATTTGGTGAAACGATGTCCTTTCACCTCACTGTAAAAAGGATGCAGTAGGTTGGTTTAAAAATAACCCCCTGTGGCTGCAGGGGAACGTGTGCCAGGCTGGGGTGGCCCCTGTGCCAGGCTGGGGTGGCCCCTGTGCCCGCCCTGCCCTGGCCCAGGTTTTCAGCCCTGGGTCCCGCAGGTGCGGCTGCTGACGGGCATCGGCCGGTACACGGAGATGAGCTACATCTTCGAGCTGCTGCACCACAGGCAGCACTTCGAGGTGCTCATGAGGAAGAAACTGGACCCGGTACGTGGAGGAGGGGGGGGGGGAACACTCAGGGACTGCGTCAGAAACTGATGTTTACACAGCGAGGAATTACCTGAGGATTTTACTTATTGCAGTGCGGGAACTGTGAGTCTTGTTTCATAGAAATAAGTGAATTCTGGGGTTATTCTAGGTTTAGTTGAACCAGTTTTTTCTAATTAGTTCAGGGCTGCAGTGAGAGCGGCATTGAAACTTCAGACTTGGCATTGTCAGAGTTTTCATGTCCTGCTTTGCTTTTACTTCCAGTTAAAGTTTCATGGGGGTTTTAAAAACCATAATATTCATAGCTTTGTTTAAAACAAATCAAGTCACTTTTGACATTTGTAAGTAGAGAAATGCACAGGTGCTGGATTTTCTTGCCCAGCAGGATGTAGTTGAGCCCAGGGATGACTCTCAAGTATGGAGGCTGTAACGATCACTTTTTGGAACGTTGTGCCAGAGTTGCTTGCGGGTACCAGAGTGTGGGTGAAAGCCAAGCCCCAGGCTCAGTGTGCCCTCCCTCCCCAGAGTGGGACGCTGAAGACGGCGCTGCTCGAGTACATCAAGCGCTGCCGGCCCGGGGACAGCGAGAAGCACAACATGATCGCGCTGTGCTTCAGCATGTGCAGGGAGATCGGCGAGAACCACGAGGCCGCCGCCCGCACCCAGCTCAAACTCATCGAGTCCCGGCCCTGGGGTCAGTGCCGACAGCCCGGGGCAGGGGGAGGAGGAGGGAACGCCTCTCTGCTTGTCTGAGAACGCCCCTTAAACTGCTCCTGCCTGCCCGGCCTGGGCGGTTCTTGTCCCTGACAGTTCCTGACTGCCTGGGTGTTCTCCAAAGAGGGGCATTTTTGGCTCTTACTTGATGTACCGTTCCTGTGGTACCTCACATGGGACAAGCCACGTTTTCCTCCCTTGGACAGGATGGGACACGGTGGTTTTGTACAGAGTGTGTATGTGAAGTGTTGGGTTTGTGTCTGTGCAAGGGAAGAGCTCAAGGTGCCCTGTGTGAGCCCTGCCCAGCTGGGAGGGGCTGGGGGCACAGGGAGCTCTGCAGAGCCAGCAGCCAGTGCTGGGCCAGCAGCTAAAGCAGGAGCTGTGCCAACGATTTCTGAATTGATCTGATAATAGTCACTGCTGGGATCTACCACTAATATGTGCCTGGGGTTCCTTTCCACTTCTGCAATCACTTGGCCAGGCTCCAGCAGTACCTGTGGTCCATTAACAACTGAACAGGCAGCGAGCGTGCTTTTTCCTGCTTTTTTAAAACAAAAATTCTGATTTAGTCTGTTGTTGCTTTCTGAGGCACCACCAGGGACAGACCTGGCACTGGGAGGGATTTTTGTAACTTACCTTTATAAATAATTGGTTATTCCTTTTTTTTTTCCTGTTTCAGAGGAGTCTCTCCAGGATGTTGCAAATTTAAAGAAGCTGCTGCTGAAAGCTCTGACTCTCTTCATTGATGCAGCAGAAAGTTACTCCAAGGTAAAGTGAGGTGGAGTGGAATGACTTGTGTATAGATTTGGGAGCACGTCAGGAGTGGGCTGAGCTGGGAGAACACACAGAGCTGCTCTGGGGAAGGTTTGCAGCATCCTGGCCTTTGGAAAAAGAGCCAAGGAATCTCTGTCTGTGCCAGCCCAGCGGCTCCAGCAGCCCCAGTAACAGCTGTGCCCCAGGGTGCTGTGCTGCCCCTGCTCAGGCTTTAACCCCTGGGGTTACAGTTCAGTTCCCCAGTTTCAGAGCAGGGACCAGGAGCTTAATGAGTAAGAGTAGAACAAAGTGTTTAAATCAGAGTGTGATTATGGTGGAAGTATTATGATGGATGTGGGGAGTGAAGGTATGTTTAAAACTACTGGAATATGGTCAGTGCTAAACCTGCAGTGCTCTCCATCCCTGCCCAGCTCTGAGCTCTTGGCTGCTCTCAGGGCTGCTCTGATCTCTGTTGTTCCAGGACTCTTGTGTGCGGCAGTCCCTGCGCTGCCGCCGCCTCACCAGGCTCATCACGCTCCAGCTGCACTTCCTGGGTTCGGGGCAGAGCACCAGGATCATCAACCTGGGCAGGCAGGACCTGATGGGCACCATCCTGGCCCTGCCCAGGTTCTACCAGGTGAGCTGGGCTCCCTCGGGTCACTGTTGGCAAGGGCTGTTTCACAGAGCACAACCCGGGCACCGTGTCCTGGGGGCACTGCCCAACCCTTCCACGGGGCCACCACGGCCTGGGGCTGTTGTCCCAAATATATATCCTGGGATATACAAGGGCCTGGAGGGACAGGACACAGGGAATGGCTTCCCACTGCCAGAGGGCAGGATTAGATGGGATATTGGGAAAAAGTTCTTCCCTGTGAGGGTGGGGAGGCCCTGGCACAGGTTTCCCAGAGAAGCTGTGGCTGCCCCTGGATCCCTGGAAGTGTCCAGGGCCAGGCTGGACGGGGCTTGGAGCCACCTGGGCTAGTGGAAGGTGTCCCTGCCCATGGCAGGAGGTGGGACCGGATGGGTTTTACATCTAATTTACATTGGCATCCATCAGTTTGTAAATTTGGAAATAAGAAACAAAAGGGTTTATCTAAAAGACAACAGACAACCCCCCTCTGACATCTTTTTTAGGGGTTAAGGAGGATTATGTGCTGTACTTTGTTACCTTTGTTCCTCTGCACTCAGCTGCTCTCAAGAGCAGGATCAAGAGATGGGCCAAGCAGAAGACCTGAACTGTTCCAGTATTTTCTGTGCCCTCAGCCCTTTCCTGTGAGTCACTGCAGCCCCCGCTCTCCCTGCAGGCAGCCATCGTGGCTGAGGCCTACGAGTTCCTCCCAGACTGGGCTGAGGTTCTGCACCACCAGGTGATCACCAAGGGGGACTTCACCTACCTGGAGGAGTTCAAGCAGCAGAGGCCACTAAGGCCCAGCCTGTTCGAGGAGGTGGCCAAGAAGTGAGTTCTGTGCTCCAGGGGCAGCTTTGTTCTCCACAGGGACCTTGGGAGGAGCAGCTCTGACAGCATGAAAGTGTCAAACCTTTCTCATGATATGCAGGGGCTGGAGGCAGAATCATGGAATCCTGGAATGGTTTGGGTTGGGAGAGACCCTAATGCTCACCCTGTTCCAACTCAGGGGTACCTTCCACAATCCCAGGTTGCTCCAAGCCCTGTCCAACGTGGCCTTGGACAATTCTAGGGATGGGGCAGCCACAGCTTCCCTGGGCAACCTGTGCCAGGGCCTCCCACCCCCACCCCAGCAGGGACAATTTCTTTGCAGGTTTAGTTTCCTGAGCACAGTGTGGAAGGAGCTCCACCCTTGTTCCTGAGCCGGACAAACAGGGAGCTCTTGTTACAGGCCCAGACCAGGAGTCTCTTTGTGCCTGGGAAGCTTTTCTGTTTCAGTTACAGTGCAATTGTTTCCAGGGTCCAACAACACCCCCCTGCTGATGCTGCTCTGAAGAACCTGAAGCGGTTCCTGGCCCACTGTGAGGACATTTACACCTACTACAGGCTGGCCTATGACCACAAGTTCTATGATGTGGTGAATTCCCTGCTGAAGGACCCTCAGACAGGCTGCTGCCTCAATGACCTGCTATCCAACTGAATTCCAGCCCTGGAGCACAGCCCGGCTGCAACACTTCCTGCAGGGTCAGTGCTGATAACAGAGATTTTATCAGGGACCTGCTCCCAGGGCTCTGCTGCTGAGAGTTACTCTAAAAATCTGGTGGTGGTTGTAAATATTTTAAATGCTGAGACTGTGTTAACCTAAAATTGTGTTTGTATAATAATAAATCTTATTGTTTATAAATTACTGGAGTCACCAGTAGATAGAGTGGCGCAGGTGGGGATGGACCAGAGATCCAGCAGCCCTTTAAATTGTGGGGTGGGGGGAGGGAGCACCCCAGGAATTGTATCCAAACAGCTGTGCAGAATATCCAGTACAAGGGGGTGGAATAAGCAGAATTAGTAAAGGTTTCAGGTACACACGAGGATAATCCATTCTCTGAGTCCAGTCTGATTAGACTGGGCTTGTTTTCTAAAGTCTTGTATAGCTCCAAACAGCACATTCCTACTTCTACTGTCCTGAAGTAAAAGAAGTAATTGAGTGCAAATGAATTCTTTCTGTTATTAAATATTAATCTAGATATTAAATATAAATATTTATATAAATATTAACCACCTTTCCAGGCTCAGGCAGTCGGCACAGACCCAGCACAGCTTAGCTTTGCAAAGCTCCCTCTTCAGGTACTTCTTGTCAGTCCCAAAAGAACTGCTCCAAGGCCAGCCTGGTGAAGTCCTCAATAGTGATTTTTATTAAATTAGTTGCTTTATAAAACATTGCAGATGTTGTAATTGTTAACATAACAATTTGCCCAACCGGAGGAACTGCTGCAGTTTGCAAAGCAAGTTTGGTTTTTAATGGAAGAAAAGGGCCGAGTCATGAAAGACCCACCACAACCCAGGAGAGCCCCAAGGAAGTCTTGTGGTTTGGTTTTTGTTTTACACTTAAACCCATTAATTAACTGTTAAAGAACACCCACCCCAACAGCTGCATTAGTAGAAATTTAGGTGAATAGAACTAAAGTTCATCCTGGAGACACAAGTGGGTTTGCCTCGCTCTGCCCCAGCAGCTGCTGCTCAGGTGTCAGGCTGTGGAGCAGGGGCTGGCCCAGGGGACAGGCTCCCAGGTGCAGTATCCCACACTGAAGTTAGCAGTGCCCTTCCCAAAATACTGAGAACCTCAAGCTCTAACTCAAGACAAAGCGACTGGAACTCTACGTGCACACCCTGCCCTTGCTGCAAACTGCTCGTGCTCACGGCCCCGGCCCTGGACTGGGGCAGGGGAGGCCATGCCATGGAGCTGTGCTGGTTGTAATCCTTCACCCCTTTCCAATTCCTTCCCAATTTAGTGGCTGTTGCTATCAAATTAAACAGCAGCAGTGCCCATTATCAGAATTTTGGGGTTTTAATTGCAATTTTCAGACCTTTTCCCTTCTACCCCTGCCCGGAGCTTCCGCCCGGGGCTGGGCACGTCCAACCCCCAGCACACAGATACTGCAATTCTGATTGTAGCATTTGGCAGAATTTAAAGGAAGAAAAGTTGTGCTACATGTTTAAGGGATTATGGGCAACAGAAAGACAACAGAAGGAAGATAAATGTCACATGAAGTCTTCAAAGTCTTGTACGTACTCGCCGTCGTAGCCCCCGTAGTCGGCCAGGTCATCTTTCATCGTCGCCTTCAGCCCCCCTCCAGGAACAACCCCTTTTTTCTTCTTTCTGGCTTTATTCTGCAGGAGGGGGAGGAGGAGGTTTATTGGACATGCCCAGGGCTCTGTCACTGCCCCAGCCAGTGACCCCACTGGGTAGGAGCACTCACATACCCTGTGCTCAACGTACCAGTGGTGATGTTCCCACCCCACCCACTCTCTGGTTGGAAATCAATCCATGTTTTGCCTGGAATCTCAAGAGTCAATCAACTCCTGCTCACCTCACACAGCAAAGAGGATTTAACACTACAGCAGCATCCAGGGGGCCCATTTCCCCTCCTGCTCCCACTCACCCCAAACCCAGCAGTTAAGTCAGAGTGACCCTGTCACCCCTTCCCAGGGGAGCCCCGCAGGTGCTGTGAGCCCTGAGCAATCTCACCTTCTCTTGTTTTTGTTTTTCACTGCATAGTACTGTCAGAGTGTTTGTGATCTTTTTCAAATCATCCACTTCCACTGCATTGGGGGGAAAAAAGGATAAAAGAAAAAGATTCCTTATCAGTGTTCTTACAATGCAGTCAAATGTTAAGTAACATCAACAGCCTCTCAAACTAGAGCCAAGCATTAGTGTAACTATGGGCAAGATGTTCATTTAAATCACCAAATCAGAGTGAAAGGTTCTGGTCCTTACAATCCTAACAAGGATTCCAGCTGGTACCTCAGAAGCCTGTGTGTTGCAGAAGGTAAAACTTGCAAATTAAGTTACTGAACACAAGAGTTCTAATGAGGCCTCTGAAGAGGAAAATACGGAAACAGTAAAATGTATCAAAAGGAGCAGTGGATTAACAATAAATTATTGTCACTAAATGGTGAGACCTTGGCAGTCCCTCCCCTCAGAGGCTCTGGAATCTGTCTGAGATGGAAGGTCCCAGCTGCCAGCCAGGATAGCTGGATTTACCCTGACTGGGATCCAGTTACTGCTCCCTGAAGGACAACTGGGGACAGGACAGGACACATCCCACTGAGTTCTCCAAGTGCTTCAGCCACCAGGGCAGTGGGAAAAGGAGTTTGAAGTAGTTTCTCACTGTAGTTACACACTGAATTCTAGAACAATTAATCTGCAGTCCCAGAATTACACAAACTCAATTTTAGAATAGTTTCCTCCCAGATGAGGGAAACTCAAGTTATCTGCCTTAGAGAATAATTTTTTATTTATTATTATTATTGTTGTTATTATTATTATTATTAAAAAAGGCTTCAAGGAAAACATGCAGGATTTAGATAAGTATAAAAATTCACACTTTTTAAATGACTGTCTCTCACTGATGTGCAGAAAGAGCAGTTCTGGTATGAGAGAATCCTTAACGGACTTCGTGGGAATGGAATCAGGTCAGTGCTTCATTTAGTGCAAACTCCACAGAGCCACCTCCACTGAACATTCCCTATCACAGCATGTTTTCCACTCCAGCTCCATCCCAGTGTGGCAGCAGTTGTGGGCTGGCTGAACTTACAGGAAATACAGATGTCCCGAACTAACGCTTCCAAAAACCCGGCGTAATGTAACGACTTCTCGTACTGTGTGATTTTCTCCTTGAGGAGTTTGCCAAATTCCGTGAAGTCATCTTTTGTAGAGGGATTCATGGCATCTATTCCACAAGTGTTATTTACACCTGCGTGGAAAGAGAGAGGTTACAGAGAACATGAGCTGGGACCCTAAAAGGTGACCCCGGAGCTGGCCTGGCTGCTCCCCCCTCACTGAGCTCTGCTCCTCACAGAGCCAGCCCTGACTCCTTGGCCTTACAGGAGGGGATTTTGCTGCAAACTCTGTAATTTCAAAGAATCCTGGAACGGTTTGGGTTGGAAGGGACATTAAAGATCATCCAGTCCCACCCCTGCCATGGGCAGGGACACCTCCCACTAGCCCGGGTTGCTCCAAGCCTCGTCCAACCTGGCCTTGGACACTTCCAGGGATCCAGGGGCAGCCACAGCTTCTCTGGGCAACCTGTGCCAGGGCCTCCCCACCCTCCTAGGGGAGAATCATTCCCAGTATCCCATCTAACCCTGCCCTCTGGCAGTGGGAAGCCATTCCCCCTTGTCCAAAGTCTGCCTCTAACCCTCTTTCAAGCTCGGGAGTTTGACCCAGCTATTCCTGTTCTCTGGACAACCTGCACTGCACGAGGCCCCTTTCCCCTCAGATAAACCATTCCTGTCTCAGGCTCCTGAGTGCAAAACTCAGGTTGGTTCTTTGCAGTGGTATCCAGTGCACCCCCAAGCACTGCACTCTGACAACTCACAGCACCATTTCCCCTGAGCAATGAGCTGAATCACCCACTGTAATCAAGGGAAGACACTTCCCTCTTTGAGGAATGCTGCTGTGCATCAGCATCTCTGCCAGTTCTCTGCTCTCAGTGCCACAGCTCAGTGTGCTGAGAGCCAAGCCCTGCTCAGCCTTTGCAGGCTCTGCAGGTTGATTGATTTGACACTCACCAAATGTTTCCTTTGCTAACTCCAGGTCTGACTCCTCTTGTAGCTTCTTTAGCCGTAGTTTGTCTGCCAACTGTTCTTCTGGTGTGAGCTCCTTCTGCTCCTCTGGTGCCTCTAACTGGGGGGGAAATGCACAGGAGAAAATGGCACCTTTGGGACGTGGGGGCTCCTGCAGGGCCACTGAACTGCCCCCTCCTGCCTCGGGTCAGCCTGGGCACAGCCTGGGAACCCCCCCTGGAGCAATGCCCCGTGCCAAGGAATGGGCATCTCATGAGCCATGGGAAGGAACAGCACACTGAGCTCCCACACCTGCCTGTGCCATCCCGTGGTGCACCCAAAGGAACTGGGGTCACACTGCTCCCATCACTGCTTCAATCACACAGGAACTAAAGCCCTGGGTGGGATCCCCTACAACACCTAAGGTTGGTCTGTCAGACGAGTCAAGACCTTTGCAGGTCTTGTTCAACCTCCAAAACAACCCATCAAACCTGCCCTCTGCAATTTATATGACCCAGAAGAAATCAGGATTTACCCTTTTTTTAAGCTCCTCTTGCTTTTTCTTCTGTAGCTTTTCTTTTTCTTTGATTTTTTCTGCTATTTTCTTTTTTTCTGAAACTTTCGGTTCTGTAAGACATGGAACAATAAATGCAGCTCTCAGGAGTTCTGAGGATGAGATTTTTCCCCCCCACAAGCATAAACACCCAAAGCCACCCAGCTCAGCTACTGGGGCCTGAACACAGAGGTAAAGACACCCTTTTGTTAAACCCAAGCCCAGCCCGGGTTTGGATCCTCACACCCCCCCAGACAAAATCAGTGTCTGTTCTGATGCTGATACAGAGCCAAGTGTTACCTTGAACTCTTACCTTGTTTTACCTCTGTCTCCTTTACCTCCTCCTCTTCCTCCTCATCATCCCAGTTATCCTGGAAAGCAATAAAGATTCTTTTAGAGATACTCTGAACCTCTTTAAATGCCCACAAACCCATTAATCTCACGTGTCAGAATGAGGGAGCGGTGGGAGCTGCAGCACAACAGTTTCTGGGGGCTATCCATGCTGTTTTGGACAAGTTCTTTCCAAGAAAAAGGCAGTTTTTGGTCAAACAATCAGTTCATGTCAATAGC